CCCATATTTCTCACTTATATTTTTATAAATCATTACTAATAATTAAAAATGTTCCCTTTTAATTCTCTCAATCATTTTAATTCATTTATTAACAAACATCCCACTGCATTACAATAAATATTTTATCCATCATCATATTTTCTAAAGTTATTTCTATTTGTAATATAACAAAGCTATCTTATGTACCTTTGCAGAATCCCTTTTACAATTAAATTTTCACCCATTATCTCTAAACAAACATGGTTACAATCCTTATATCTTTTCCCTGTTTCTCCGTTTCTTGTTTCTGTCTTTTACAACTTCTTTTCCTTGCCTTCTTCCCCCTCTCCTTCTCCCTCCCCTTTTTACCCCCTCCTCTCTGTACTTCTAACTCTCTCATCTGTAATCCCCTCTTCTGTTGCTTTCTAATATTATACTTATCTTTCAAATTGTTCTTCTTTTTGGTTGTTTTTTCTAATCTTAAACCTTTCACTCTCTTTCCCCCCTTTTCTTTTTTCCCCCCACTTAAATTATTTGATCATTAAAGATAGCTTCTTTGTCCCAATCTTCTTGTTCTGCAAGCGTTTCTTGTTGCTTCTCATAGTTCCAGATCTCCATTTCTAAGAATTGAAACACAAAGCCAAAAGAACTTCTCCCTTCCTGTGCGTCTTCTTTCCATTTTTAAAGTTCCATTTTCAGTTTTTCTAAGAGTGATACCATTTTTAAAACTTTTAAACAACCACCCAGTTAATTTTAGTCATCTAGATGCAAAAACCAAAAATCACCAAGTAATCCAAATAATCCAAGGCTGTTTCTACTTGCTTCTTTTTTCCACTTTCTCTTCCTGAGGTTCTATTATTTTGTTACCAAGTTTTCATTAAAATGTATCTTTGAGGAATCTTGTTAAAATTTCACTGTAAGTTCCTTTTAATTACAGTTCCATTCCTTAATTCCAGGCTGTCTCCTCCATTTTTCCAGATCCTGCCCTTCTATTCTTTTTTTTTTCTCCTTTCCAGCTTTTAAAAACTTTTAAATGTCCAGAAATCTTTATTATCCCCATGACTTTTATTTTCAGCTTAGATGCCTATTAATGTCAAAGTGGATTTTTTTTTCAGTTTCTTGCTTAAGTCTCTTAGCTGTCAGTATAAGGAAGGGAAGAAAAAAAACCTAATCCTTTCCCTTCTCTCTCTCCTTCGCAGCTTCAAAATCATCTTTGGGAACAATGTTGTTAAGTTTAAATTCCAGGGTACCTTATTTGTTGCTTTTGCTGTTTGACCCGGTCAACCAAAACTTTCTCTTCTTATCTTCCTCGTGCACATTCTTTTCCAGTTGAGTTCTTCTTTGAGGTGGCCATTTCTGACCACCACTATAACCGCCTTCGGGAAAGGGAGTAATGGCCAGCTGGGGAGGAGAGATGCGGCTCTCCTCAACCCTGCAGGCAGTCTCCCCCCTCTTCACCACCTCTACGGGGTGGCTTAGCCCCGAAACCAGCTGGCTCAGGGCGCTCCAGCAGCGAGCATGGATCGAAGCCTCGGAGAAACGAGGTTTCGGTCTGTCACCAAAGAAGCTCAAAGAGCACTTTTTTTCAGTTTTAATGTATATTGTCATCATACAGTTGTAAGTCCAGCCTATTATATTGTCATCATACCTTGGAAGTCCAGCCTATTATCCAGTGCAGGAATTTACACCATTCCAGATAAATGGCAGTTCAGTCTTTTTTTGAATGCCTCCAGTGATAGAGCACCAAGCTGTTCCATTGCTGTAGTTCTCACAACCAGAAATTCCTCCTTATTTCTATTGGTGATCTTTCTCTCTGTTAAGGTTCCACTTGTTCGTTCCTGTCTTACTTCAGGTACTAAGGAGAATAAATCCAGTTCTTTTAATTGTGTTCTGTAGAACTTACCAACTTTGTTCCTCTTCTTTGCACTCTTTATCAGCTCCTTAGCATCTTTTTTTATTATGGCAATGAGAACTGGACATAGAATTCCCCGTATGGTCTGACCAGTACAGCATAGAGTTGTATTATCTCTTCCCATTATCTTGGCATTGTATTTTGTTGATGCAGCCCAAAACTGCATTTGTTCTTTTGGCACATTGCTGGTCCATTCTTAATCTGGTCTGTCAATACTCCCAGACTCTTATTAAACACTACTACTACAATAAGCCAGGTGCTGTCTATCTTATAAATGTGCATCTGGTTTTTCCTGTATCTCAGTGCCTATTTGTCTAACTACTGAACAATATTTTTGTTAGGCAGAGCCAGGTGTTCAAAGCTATTGATATTGTTTTTTAAGCAGTCCCCCCACTTTTGTAATATCTGCCAATTTTATGAATGTATCTCTTCTGTTTCCTCACCTAGTCATTATAAAGATGTTGATTTTTTTTTTTCAAATATGTCAACAGAACTGTACTTATAATTCTAGAATCAGGCATGTCATAAATTTCTTAAGACCCTTAATGTTGGCTTTTAAATCTCAGTACTTTTTGTTTTGACCCTTAGAGCACAATTTGTCTTTTTTTTTTTACAACTACAGACGATGCTGTCTGTGTTTTGACCCACTGTACATCACTTTACATTTACTTAGATTTAACTGTTTGGTTAAATTGAAGCCATTGGATTGACCATTTCTGCTTTTAAAGGAATCCTTTTGGAACTGTTCACAATTATTTTCAAATTTTACCATGCTAAATACCATATATTGTAATCTGTCAGTAACCAAGATAGTTTACGAACAAGTTTAGAAACACTGGTGTCAACGCAGTTCAACAAGGGATTGCACTTCTTGTATCTATCCATTTGAGGCAATTGACCATTTATTTCTATTTTTACTTGTTTCTTAATTAATAATAGTAGCCCAATGTGCTTAACACAGGATCTGACGATTTTTAACTAGTTAGCAATCCATTAAACAAGAGATCTTATCCCATGATTGCTGAGTTCACTGATAAGGAACTTTGCCAAAGGCTGTTGAAAATCCAAGTAAGCAGCATCAACAAGCTTCATCTACCTACTTTTTGACCCAAAACATTCTGGAGTGGTGATGAAACAGGATTTAGTGCTGCATCTTATTCTGATTTCCCTTATTTACTCCAGATTATCTTTGGGTCCCATTTTAAAAAATGGTATCCCATTATAACAAGCCACAGAGATGGTTGGTCAAATAAATGCATTCAGACGTGTTAAACTTTAGTTCTATAGGGAGAATATTTCATCTCACTGTAGTTTTCAAGATTCTACATTATAAATCGAGATAGATGTATCCTATAATTTAAGCCAAAGTTATCAGTTGTATAAACTTCAGAATTTTTTTATCTAATAATAGTGAAAGGTTTTTAACTAAACACCTTTATGTATTGAGCTGAATGTCTAGTAAATTCATAGGCATATCCCCATTTTTTTCTTGGCAGTAATTCAAATGCTAATCAGGTCTGATCTACTTTGATTCAAAGATCAGCCAAATTTTATGCAAGTACTATGTTGCAGTATGCTGAGAAATGTGTGACAAAAATAGGGTTTAAAACACAATGCAGGACCTTTTTTTTTTAAACTTCTTTTTCAGATGATGTCTCGATCAAGCTCTTAGATATGTATTCGCAAGAACTGAAACTCAAGCACACCATTGTGGAAGAAATTGCTCATACGGCTGACCAAGATCTACTGATGGTCTATTTATCATCATGGTTATATCAGCCCTACATTGACAATAACAACATAGTTCTGTTAGAAAGTATGTTGTTAGAAACAGGGCATAGACAGCTATAATTGTACCTATTTATTTGATATTTCAATTCACCTTAAATTTCAATCTTTTAAGTAGCAAGATATATAGTGCTAATATTGTTATGGATTTATGATTTTGTTACACTTACTTGCTTGCAGCTTATTTATAATAAAAGTTCTTACTTTCTTATGATTTATACCTCTTTTTGTTCTATATTATACCACAAAGCACAATTGTCTTTTATTTCGAAGTATATTATGAGCAATATGGTTATTTTCAGAATACTTTGTAGTTTATCTGGGTATGTAACTGGGCTGTCAGAAAATTAGTTACATCTAAGTAGTTTAATCCTTCCCTAACATTCATAATGTGTGAATATGTGAGAATAGTTTCCTCAGTCTCCTCAAACTGGATAAAAGATATCAAGGAAAAAACTACAATCATGTATACTTCTCCACTCATATGAAAATAAAGCTGCATAATTATGTTTTACATAAATATATACAATTTGCAGAAGGCATAGTTTCTCTACTTTCAGACTCATATCTTAGTTAAACATTACTACTGGCATATAACTTATGACTTTTTAAGCGATTAATACAAGAAAACAAGCAATAGAGTGAAAACTTCAGATTGTGTATATCACATTTACAAATATGCCAAAACAAAACAATTCCTGGGCAGCTATTTAACATGGGAGTGTTCCAGTCGTTGTAAAAAATAATTAAAAAACAAGGTTCAGAATAAGGAAGATTCTGAAGCCCTTCAAAAACCAAGCAACTCGTATGATACAGCCAGGATAAGGGAGATTAATTTCTAGAAAATAAAAAGGGAAATGCAGTCGTGGCCTGGTATGTAAAGATCAGCACTGTGCTCTTCCATTTTTGGTAACATAGTTGCTAGATGAATCTCTTATGACAGTGTCCTAGTATGTTACTGGTCAGTCTCTGTTCAGATTGTATTTATAATCTCTTTTGACTTCTTCCATCCCAACAAAATGTTGGAAAGATTATATAAAGGAAATCGGAACTCTTGATTATCAGCAGGATGACTCAAAAACCTGAAGAGAACGGGGACAAATTTGCTATAATGGGAGATTCCAGCCAAAGAAAGATCATGTTCAAAAATGGACCAAATCTGGCAGGGAACTTACAAAGAAAATAATTCTAGAAAAAAAATATCCAATGCTCTGAGAGAGAGAGAGAGAGAGAGAGAGAGAGAGAGAGAGAGAGCTGTGCTTGGAATGGTGCATTTAGTCCCTCCATCCTGTACCCCAGGCACATTATGAATTACTTGGTTACATAAAAATTACAGAGATGCCTCCTATAATCACTGCTATAGTACTTGGAAAGAATTCAACAACTGTGTTGCATATACAGTACTTTCCCTAATTTGTTTAAAATTGCTGTTATGTGAGATGATGCACTAGATCATACTTAGCTACTTCCAAATCACAGCTGTGTGGATTAATCCATATTATTTTTTTAAAGGAGCTGTTGCTTAGACTTTTGCTCAGGATCTAAAAGGCCATATACCAGTACATAACATGCTAAACTCACTTATGTCTTATCAAGAGGCATATTAAGCTGGCTCCTCTTCAATCAAGTATGAGTAACAAGCATCTTCCTCATAGCTAGTTTAATATTCAGTGCAATTAAGGAATCATGACTTGTTCCAGAAACAAGCTAAGTCCATAGTTTACCCAACGTATTTTTAAAAAACACTTCCAGGAAACTGCCCATATTTTCCCTGTTTTTAGGAAGAACAGATATGAGCATGTACAACAAGAAGCCAAAATGTGTTATTAAATGCAAATGTAGTCTATCAGTGCATATGCCTTCCAAATTTCACCAAACATAATTTTAATTTAAGCTTTAAAATTCCTAATATGGCATGACATAAATTATTCAACTTTTTATATTTCTTTATGTCATGGACTGTTAAACTCTTCACTTCCAAATATTTGAATGTCTAGGTACTATGAATTAAAAGTGTTTTCAGAGTAACTTGGATTTGGGAAAATTTAAGAATATATCTTACAATTGCAAGTATGTACAATAGGATGTATCTTACAACATGAAGTAGATGAATTTTTACCTTTATAGCCATTTATAGATGTTCTATGTAGTAAACTAAATATTTAAGAAAACCTTGGTTATCTGTTTATTATCCAAGAATAGATGATATCTTTAAAACGTTAAAATGATTCAAGATCAAGAACAATCTGTAAGGACTTTCAATCTCAAATAAAGCTCTTCTACATTTTAAAAAAGTAAAATTAAATTGGAAATCTCATAGAAACAGCAATCTCTAAAGCACCATTTTCTTCAAGTTTATTCAGGATAGCATATACAAGAATTTAAATGTTCATTTTTAAAGTAATTCTGACAGTTGTCAAATTTATACAGTATTTTAGGTAGTCAAGCATTAATATATCCATAGCAATTGGTGCAACATGTTTGTCTCTTAGGAGAAGTTCATTTTCTATTAACTCCCTATAGCACCACTGATTACGCCCCTCATTTAAGTGCTGCTAGCTTTCCTGCAGAATTGATTCATTCAATCATTATGAGAATATTGACTCTTAGGAAGCCAATACATCTCCTCTTATGCAGACAAAGGCACGTGCAAGTAGGGACAAAGTGACAAAGTGCATTGTGATATGATGCAAACTCTGTAAGTTATGTAATTGTGGGCAATATGGCAACGCAAGTACAAAACAATAAAACTTGCATGGTAGCATCCCAATGCATGTTTTATCATAAAGGCCAATCTGCTCCTGAATACCTGAAGAGGATTAACAATATTATTAGAACCAGATTAGCAAAATTATCATTCTGGGGAGGTAACACCTAAACCTGGATATTTTTAGAACTTATGCTATATATTAAATACTGCCAAGCTTGTGGAATCAATTCATGTTTAATATACATTTCAGATAGACTTTCAAAACTGTTTCCAAAATATTTTTATAATGGCTTAATTTTAGTATTGTTAAAAGTGCTGCAACTTCAAAAGAATTTGTATAAATGTAGTAGCAGCAAACTGTGTTACAAGCAGATGTATAATGTAGAGCATCAGGAAGAAGCAAAGCCTATACTGACAATAAAAGTTCCCAGTTTCCATAATCTTCAACATCATGTTGTACTTAGTACATTCTCTACTTTTCTTCCATTAAAATACTATTAAATTGATTAGTCATATATTTTCAAGGAAGGATGAAGCTGGTCTATTCAATTTCCTGAGATCTAAACTGATGAACTACTCCTGTGATGTTTAATACTGTTGAAATTATTAAAGTTTTAAGAAAGTTCAAAATTTGTTAACAGCATTTTTTCTTAAGTTCTTGATATATTTTATTTTCACTGTTTTTTCATGAAGAAATCAAGGAGAACGATGACTGTATTTTTCAGATGTTTCAAGAGATATAATAAGTCATTTTGTTTACTGTGTCCCAACTTGACTTTATCTTTGTTCTTCTTGTGAATGTCCTCTATGGTCCGTTGGGCATCTCAAATAATCTAATCTTGGTGTACTTAAAGGCTGTAAATATTCAATTTTTCTTGAGTGTGTCGATCACATAAATCTGTATTTATCTTCCACAATTCTTGATTGGAGCAATTCATATTTTTCCCCCATATTTTTGCAGAATAATTTTTGCTGTACAGTTCTAGAACATAAGAAAACACACAAAAATGCTGTAATTTAAATGCACATTTTAAAGAATTATATAGCTTTTTGAATATAGAACACTGCAAGAGAAAGATTTCTTTCACTATGCATAAAATTTTTTTTATTGAAAACCTTAAATATTTGCCAAGGTGAAAAAGGCATGTAAATTGTAAATGTATGAAACAGCAATTGTACAATCTCTAACTAATCTTAAAGCTGTATGAAGCTGTTGGGTCTAGGAGTGAAAGAAGTCTGCCAGAACATAACAAGGCTTCATAAGGTATTTCCAGCACCTCTCCACCTGTTTCTATTTCTTCATTTAGAAATATCTGTAAACTGCTCCAAATGCCCCCCACCAGGAATCTGCAGTTGGTTTTGTCATAGTGCTAAAACATGAAGTGTGTTTTGCATGCATAAAACAGGGTTGTGATTTTCATTTCATCCATATTCCACTGTGCCTGATTGAATTCTATTCTCTAGAGGCCACAGGTCTTGAAGAATGGCTTCTCATATAATATAAGGGGTTTAAATTTGGAATGGAAATCCCTATCTATTCTCAAACCCATCAATAAGCAACTGAGACAGGCAAGTAATAAATGGAGGAATCCAGGAATTATCACCTAGTGCCCCATCCAGGCCTGCAGCTGATTCTATTGATCAATATTGTTAATATTGATGGTACCTCTTCCATGTGAAAGCCTAGGCAACTGTTCTATTCTCTATCAAGAAACCTGGTAAAGGTTACATTTTAAAAAACATTAAAAAAACCAGCTCTCAGTATAAACCATGAATTTAAAACATAGCTGTTTATTATATTTAAAACATTTATGTAGCTGCCCACTTATAATCAATGCCCAATTAAAAAGCTATATTAACTTTCAGTCAAATCAAATATTTCTATCATTTAGTAACCATATGCAGTCACAGTGATGATGAGGTAAACATTGACTTTCACAGAACTGTACAACGAGGAAAGCTGAAGTAAAGCCATAAATAAGCACAATCACAATTTCACTTAGCAATTATTTAATCACAGAGTTGCCAATTGCAATTGAGGTTGCTAAATGAAGATTTTGCAAAAGTTCAATATCTTTTACTCCAGCTGCAATACATAAGACAAAACAAAAAACAGGCAAGAGGAGATTGCCCGTACAGCTATTGTTGGACTACAATTGCCATTAGCTGCAACTAAAATGGTTAATGGCAGGAATTAGGATAACTATAATCCAAAGCAAGAGATTATTCACACCTTATCTCACTCAAAGAAAACACTCTAATACTAATTCTATTATTAAGAGAACATTAAGGAGCAATGTCGTGTAACAAAGCATTATACCCTATTAATATAGGCAAGTTCAAATTTTGCAAAAAGATAAATGATTTTCAATCCATTGCTGATACTTATCAGAAGATAAATTTATAAAAAATAAAAGCATCTTATGTTTATAATGTTGCAAAATATATACATGTTACCATGACAAAATTTGTTTATTTTATACCTCAGCTGCTCATTTCTGTCCTGAGATATGGAGCAATATAGGCTCATCAGTAGATTCAGTACATTCAGGAAAAGAATTTGTCTGTATCTTTGTCACTTCAAGACAACAATCTGTAATTCCTAGTGATTCAGCTACCTGTTAAACAGAAAAAAAGAAAAACTTCACTGAAAGTGCCACCTGTAGAAAATAACTAGTCATTCATATAGTAATTATGAAAACTGATCAAGGATTTTCTCTGTATTTTGCATCTCTATTTGTTATATGCTAAAGATTTCACACTTTTTCTAAAATCTAATGCAATTATTTACTCAGGGCTTATCAAGAATCTTACTAATAAAAGAAAATCCAAGTTGAATAATTAAGTATGTCATAATATCTGCTTCACCCATTTCAAAAATAATTATTTCAGAATGGTTTACATGATATTCACATATCTTTTCTCCTACATTT